TTTCGGTAACTTTGACAGATTGCAGGTGAAAGAAGAACAAACGACAGCTCGGTTATTCCTCTTTGAACCGAACTGACTACCGAGCGTTCAGCAGATAAAAACTCGGTTGAAATCAAACCGAGTTCGGTATTATTTTCTAAGTGTGTAGGCTTTCAAAAATTGGACTAAAATCATCAAATATTAAGATGACAAGCATCCGAATTGGTTTGCTATGAATCGACTGACGATCATCTCAATAATATTGATATTATCATTAGATAAGTGGTATAAGGCTTGGGTAAGCGAATAATCATTCAAACCAAGGATGACGTTTAGGCAGAGTTGCGACCTATCACAATCACGTCAAACAGCTGATGGTAGTAACGCTTTGTACATTCCTATCCATGTGATCGTCGAAGCTCTCGCCATGACCATCCATCAAGTTGGCGAAAGAAGTAAAAAGCAACTGGTGAATGTCGTCTTCGGTTGTGATCCATCACCGATCTGGACAATCACGACATGCATCTGTGCTCGTTTTGAAGCAGTTGCTGCTTTGCTTTGGGCTTTGGGCTACAAAATGGTGAGTGACAATCTGGAAGGAGCGATATACCTAGCTCCGGTCCTCACAAGTTCCTACCTCACGCCTCCACGAGTCATATGATCACAAAAGACTGCCAGCTGAAACATGGACACAGCTGGTTGGCGTAGCCTGAGCAATGTTGTCAATCCGACAATAGCAGAGTGAGGAGGTGCGACGCGAACACTGGCGCGGTAACCATAGCACGGTGATAGAGGAAATGCTTCGCCAACCCGAGCGTCTGTTCACCATGGAGGTGCGGCTCAAACAGCGTCTGACTGGCATCCAGCGGCTGAATAAGAAATGCTCTTCCCCGGAAGCTACACCTAAGATGGCAGCCCCATCACGGTGGATAGGAGACCTTAGGCCAACCACCTACTGTCTCTGAAACCTTTACAATTGTTACAGAAACCAACAGAGAAAGACATCGAACTGATTTAACGGCAATGACTTTTAACGCAAAACAACGGACACGAATTGGATCATGGAATGTATTGACGTTAGCCCAGCAGGGTAAACTGGCACAACTCGCCAACGAGGCGCGACGCATGAAGCTAGAAATCCTGGGACTGAGTGAAGTTCGTTGGCCAAACTTTGGAGAACACAAACTGCCGTCGGGACAGGTACTACTATACTCTGGTATTCGAGGTGAAAACGCTCCCCGCCATCGTGGAGTTGGTCTCCTACTTAGGGTCCAGGCAAGTGCTGCGCTCATCAAGTGGGAGCCTGTTAATGAGAGGATAATCGTTGCCAGATTTAGAACACGGGTTCGTAACCTTACCATAATCCAATGTTATGCGCCAACCGATGCTGCCGAGCTACAGGACAAGGAGAATTTTTACAGTCAACTGAATGCCGTCGTGGATAAAATTTCAAAGGGTGACATCAAGATCTACACTGGCGACTTCAATGCGAAGATCGGCTCCGACAACACGGACTATGAGCGTGTCATGGGACGCCATGGTCTCGGCGAAATGAGCGAGAACGGTGAGCTGTTTGCAGAATTTTGTGGCAATAACGACATGGTGATCGGGGGCTCGCTCTTCCCCCATCGGCCAGTGCACAAAGTCACGTGGGTTTCCCGTGATGGACATACCGAGAATCAGATCGACCACATCTGCATCAGCCGAAAATGGAGACGGAGCCTTCTTGATGTCCGGAATAAACGCAGCGCCGACATCGCGTCTGACCATCACCTTCTAATCGGTGAAATCCGATCCAGCGACGGGAGGAGAGACTCGGGCGGCGGTTCAACACACGCCGACTTGAAGATCCAGCGGTAAAAAGGTCTTTTGTTCATGAACTTGAGACTCGAGCTGCGGACGTTGCAGAAGGTGGCAGCGTAGAAGAACAATGGACGGCCATCAAGAATGCCTTTATAGAAACAAGCGAGAACAACTTGGGTGAGCTGCGCACCCAGAGGAAAGAGTGGATCACAGATGAAACCTGGCGGAAGATTGAGGAGCGTAGAGAAGCAAAAGCCGCAATAGAGCGGGCGAGAACCAGAGGAGCCAAGAACGAAGCCCGTCAACGGTACTCGGCTCTAGAGAAGGAAGTCAAGCGCTCTTGCAGACGGGACAAGCGAGCGTGGGTGAACTCCCTGGCCGACGAAGGGGAGAAAGCCGCAAACACTGGATCGCATATCAGCAGAGATGCTCAAAGCTGACCCCATGCTATCCGCACAAATGTTGCATCAACTATTCTGTAATATCTGGGACACCGCGACTTTTCCGGCCGACTGGATGCAGGGCATCTTAGTGAAGGTCCCAAAGAAGGGGGATCTGACTGTGTGCGACAATTGGCGAGGCATCATGTTACTGTGTATTGTTCTCAAAGTTCTGTGCAAAGTTATCCTGAATCGGATATAGGAGAAGATCGACGCGACTCTCCGACGGCAGCAGGCAGGATTCCGTGCCAGAAGATCTTGTGTGGACCATATTGTCACGCTCCGCATAATCCTCTAGCAGGTCAATGAATTCCAAGAGTCCCTTTATTTGGTATTCATTGACTACGAAAAAGCTTTCGACCGTCTCAATCACGAGAATCTGTGGGGCACCCTGAGACGCAAGGGAGTCCCGGATAAAATCGTCAACCTCATCGAAGCGCAGTATGAGGCTTTCACGTGCAGAGTTCTGCATAACGGAGCCTTGTCCGACCCTATCCGGGTAGTCGCTGGTGTGAGACAAGGATGTATACTATCACCGCTACTGTTTCTCATCGTAATCGACGAGATCATGGTAGGTGCAATGGACCGTGTACCGAACCGTGGGCTGCTTTGGCAGCCTATCACCATGGAGCATCTCAACGACTTCGATTTGGCTGATGATGTTGCTCTACTAGCACAACGGCGCTCTGATATGCAGAGTAAGCTCAATGACCTAGCCGAACGCTCCTCTGCGGCGGGTCTCACCATCAACGTCAACAAGACCAAATCGTTGGATATCAACACGGGCAACCCTTCCAACTTTATGGTAGCGGGGCAAGCAGTGGAGAAGGTCGAAAGTTTCCAATATCTTGGCAGCCAAATAGAGTCGGACGACGGGACCAAGAGCGACATAGGTGCACGAATCAAGAAGGCTAGGGCTGCCTTTGCGAGTTTACGAAACGTATGGAGATCCAACCAGATAAGTCAACGCACCAAAATCCGAATTTTCAACTCGAACGTGAAATCTGTGTTGTTATACGCCAGCGAGACGTGGTGTGTATCAGCGGAGAACACTCAAAAGCTGCAGGTCTTCATCAACCGATGCCTGCGGTATATAATTCGTGCCTGGTGGCCTCACAACTGGATCTCGAATGCCGAGCTCCATCGTCGATGGCATCAGAAGCCGATAGCAACAGAAATTCGAGAGCGAAAGTGGAGGTGGGTCGGCCACACACTTCGACGGGGCGGAAACGAAATCTGCAAGCAAGTGCTGGATTGGAATCCAGCAGGACATCGCAGCAGAGGCAGACCCAGGGGCTCATGGCGGCGGAGCCTCAATAAGGAAATTAAGCAAGTCGATAGAAATCTGACCTGGGTCAAGGCAAAAGCGAGCAGCCGCCCAGGATGGAAGTCTTTCACGTTGGCCCTTTGCACCGCTGGTGGTGCACAGGACCCTTAAGTAAGTTAAGTAAGCTGCTTTGCTTGCTTATGTGAGTGTATTGGTGAGTGAGCCCAACAGCTTCCGTTTAATGTGGCCTGCTTTGTTTGTAACTCACACTGTCGCGCCTGCCGAGACGAACTTGGAATGCGTAGGCATATTGTTTTCATTTTCTTCTGTCGTTTCGCTTTTTCTCATGATCGTACTGCAGAAGTCTTCACTGCAGCGAGTGTAACGTTTTGCTTGTGAGCAGCGACCATTACTGGTGATTGTTGTTTGCCATGGCTCTATACCTCTCACTGCGTGACAAAACGTTCTGTCAGCGATAGTCGGTTGATGCGAAGACGAAAGTCACGTGAGTGTCATGATATTTTGCATCACAGCGTTTAAGTTCAGTGAAACAAACGATTTTTATATCCATAATGGTTCATTGCTGTTCAATATGGAAATGTAAACAATCGAATTATAAATCTTTAAATCATTTGCAAGTCATCGTGTTCTTAAATTGTTGTCGTCTGAGCGCTGTAAGTGTTACAGCCAATTATCAAATAAATATCATCCTTTATTTGGATGTCAGTCATATGGATGCTCATTAGCTGAGGACGAATTCAACCATATATGGTTATAAGGTTATAAGGTAATCGAGCAATGCAATAACCATTCGAAGTATTGCGGATGTTTTCGTTCAGCGACCATAATCTAGACTTTGTTCAATCCATATTTGATGTAAGATGCAAATCGAGTGTCGTAGGCCATTCTAGTGCTTTTTAACGCATTTCGGAATTTCAACACGTTTTTGGTACCATTTGACTTTGATCAATTATGGAAATCTTTAAGCATAAGCCTGCCCAAACAAGAGACAATATTAGTGACAATTCAAGGACCTCCGGTAATGGCACAATATCAGCGCGAAATACTCAATGGAAAGGATCGAAATGGAACAAAATTAGTGCATTCAATTGCCTAAATTGTAATGTAGCTTTTAGCCGCTTGATATAAGAAGGAAGACGAGCCATTACTGAGCTATGCTGATAAGAAACGAGCTAAACGCGGCTAACAAACTGCTAGCAGTGATACGAACAATATTTCGGTTATCGTTTTTTTTTTTTTGACAATGAAATTGATAAAAAATATGTGCATAACGAGATAGGGGAGAAACAAAACAGGAAACCTGCGAAAAGAATGTGCCAATTCGCGATTAAACTTTCTATACTAAGTGAGAAGGATGAAGTAAGAAATCAGATATTCATGGGGGAAGTAGAGACTAAGACGAAGTAAAGATGAGAGAAAGAGAGCGGTAGAAAGAGAGAGAGAGACGGACAGAGGTTGGGGACTCGAGTGGAACTGCCGCGCGAACTTACCTCCTCGTCGCGGATGTCCTTCAGCGTGTACGAGACCACCGTGATGCCCATGTTGACCAAATCGGACGAGGCGACCTCGAACACCTGCTTGGAGAACTTCTTCCGGTCCTTGTAGATCTCCTCGACCGTCATCGAACCCATGATGGCACGCTGGTGGCCTTCCAAGGTAACCAGAGCAATATGTTGAATTTCCGTTTCGGACTTGCCGAGGAACTGCTCGCACGCCGTCAGCAGCATGTCCTCATTTTGGCCCTGGATTTTGACCTGGGCAATGCCGGTCACGGAAATTGGCACACCCTGGCTGGTGTACACGGTTGGACTTTCCACCTGCAGTGTCATCGTGTTGAGGGAGATTCTAAAAATATCGCAATCATTATTACAATTATCGCCTGTACCTGGGCTTGGGCTTGGGGAGGATGGAGTGATACCGTACCTTTGAACTCTTTGCACTGAGGGCCATACAAATGCCCGCCCACCGGGGACCAGCAGCGGTTTCATGTGGCAGCATCCTGCGGGATGGAAAAGAGTAACAACATCAGTAGGAAATTCAATTTTACCAATTAGCCAATTAGATGGCTAATTGACTGTGTGGGTGTACGCATGCAAAATTGATTGAAAAATACACAGTTCCAGTGAGGAATGACCCGATTATATGGTATGTCACACTTAGGGCGATTTATCATCAGTTAGCCTGGTCAACAATTTATTTAATTTTACCTCCTGGGAAAGCGTGAATTATTCATTGCATCAAAGGCAGCTATGTACGGCTAGATAGTTGATGGACAACCGCCTACCGCTCGATTTACCTCCCTCTTAACAAAATATTAATAGATTGAACCCTCGTATACTGTCCATAATCGCATATCAGTCCCATATGGATAGGAAATCAAGCAAAGATGGGACTGATATGCGATTGTGGGTAGTATACGAGTCGACATCGAAGGGACTAAAGGGTGTCCACGATGAAATTGCCACACTATGAAATTGCTCTAACTTTTTAACCGTTGGGTAGAATTTAATGAAAATTTGGGTGGATTTAGTTCATAGTGCATTATTTACATCCTGCAAGTTTTAAAGTCCTGTGATCAAAACTCGCGGAAATGGAGTCGAAAGAACAGCTCGTGCGTGATAAAATCTTGCGCATTCATCACGAGAACAAGGATCTCTCGCATCGTTCCATCGCTAAAACGTTGGGAATCGCGAATTCCACGGTGTCGCGAGTGATTAAGCGGTTCGAGGAACGGTTGACCACCGATCGGAAGCCCAGAAGTGAAGGAAAAAATATTCCGTACAACACCAAAAATCACAACCGCGTAGTTGGGGCCTTCAACCGAAATCCGAACGCCTCCGTTAGGGATGTGGCTAAGAAGCTGCACCTAAGCCGAAGTTTTGTCCAGAAGGCCAAAACTAAGGCTGGGCTTCGAACGTTCAAGGTACAAAAGGCCCCTAATCGCGACGAGAAGCAGAACAAGTCCGCCAAAACCCGTGCCAGGAAGTTGTACCTCAACATGCTGACGAAAGTTGAATGCTGCATCATGGACGACGAAACATATGTGAAGGCCGACTTCAAACAGATCCCCGGCAACCTGTTTTTCACGGCCAAGGATAAGTTCAGCGTTCCGGAGCATGTCCGCACTCAGAAGATGTCCAAATTTGCGAAGAAATTCCTGGTTTGGCAAGCCATCTGCACGTGCGGGAAGCGGAGTGCACCTTTCGTGACCCAGGACACGATGAACGGACAGGTGTACATAAAAGAGTGCCTCCAGAAGCTGCTGCTTCCTCTCCTGAAGGCCCACAACGTCCCAACAATCTTCTGTCCGGATTTGGCCTCATGCCACTACTCCAAGGACGTGCTGAAGTGGTATGCGGACAATAAGGTCAATTTCGTGCCGAAAATGTTCAACCCTCCCAACACTCCGGAGCTCCGCCCCATCGAGAAGTACTGGGCGATTATGAAGCAGCACCTTCTTAAACGACCTAAGGTAGTGAAGACAGTCGAGGAACTGAAGAAAGTATGGGTTTACATGCAAAAAACGGTTGATTCACAGGTTGTGCAGAATTTTATGGCCGGGGTTAAGGCCAAGGTGCGGGCATTTGCGTATGGACTGTAAATAAAATACGAGTAAAATGGTAAAATGAAGTTTAATAGTTATTTCTCAATCCCTGAAAATTTGATGGCAATCGGATGAAAACTCGAATTTTGCGAATCAATTTTGTGTGTGGCAATTTCATCGTGGACACCCTTTACCCGAGGAAAGTCGGATATCAAAATGATATTTCAAATGCTACGCGATAATTATGAGTTATATTAGAACCACAAAATTCGGTTTCGTTCCTACAGAACATGGGCATTCGACCCATAAATTTACGCTAATTTTTATAGGCAACCATGATGAACTACTTGAGAAGCTTTCTAGATGTAATCTTGTCACAGTGGTCAGTATATTGGAGGACCACTTATCTCCCTGCCAGAACATGGGCATTGACGAGTGCACGGATGAATTTGAGTTCACTCACTCGACAAAAAGTGACACAACAGCGGGGCCCTGTTTACTAAAAATGAACATATATGTGTTCATTTTTAGTAAACAGGGCCCCGCTGTAGACGAGTGCACGGATGGATTTGAGTTCACTCACTCGACAAAAAGTGACACAACAGCGGGGCCCTGTTTACTAAAAATGAACATATATGTGTTCATTTTTAGTAAACAGGGCCCCGCTGTTGTGTCACTTTTTGTCGAGTGAGTGAACTCAAATCCATCCGTGCACTCGTCTGTTGTGTCACTTTTTGTCGAGTGAGTGAACTCAAATCCATCCGTGCACTCGTCAATGCGACACATAAATTAAGGCTAGTGTGATGGAGATTCATGCTGGACATAATGTGACCACGGTGGTCAGTATCCAAATCTTCCAAAATCCAGTTCAAAGGCCCACTTTTCACCCCCCTAAAACATAGCAATGTGACATATCATTTCACACTAAGGCGAGTACCATGAAGAAACAGAGATCCATCTCCAACATGCAATTTTGGCCACGGTGGTCAGTATCCGGATCTTCCGGGCGTTCTGAAGTCCACTTTTCGCTCTAATGGATGGATCAGGATGGCCATTGGATTTAAGAAATAAAATTCCCGGTTTTTTCCCGGTCGCCCATCACAGTTTTCCCGCTTTCATATAAATAACAACGGTAAACTGAAATACTCCAAAAGGCTCCAAAATTGCATTGCCAATTGTTACTTGTCAAATTATGTTGCACAATTTAAATAAATTTGTTTAAATAAATCCAAAATTATAAAAGTTCTTAAGAGTCCCGGAATGTCCAAATTTATTTTGAATTTTGTAATTTTTTCGAAGGCCGAATGGGTCTTTGAACCGAATGATATACATAGCAAACTTGGACATTTATTTAGAAAACAAAGAGATCCACGGAATAATATTTGAATCTCCGACTTATTATGATTTGTAGGATCAGGTATCTGCATCTGCAAATTCGAACAACGGTCGCTTGAATTGTAGCATGTATCAAGACCTTCATACCTTACCAATAATGAACAACGCGATTCAGGGCTTGCAAAGTATGGTAGGTGGCTATTACTGGACTATCCCAGGTTCCCTCAGCTATCCTTCAATTATACTTGAGCTGCTGAACGCCAACTAACGCCTCGAACACGCATTTCTTTGAGGAACGGAACAAGGACAAACTTAAAGAACAATCCTTGGGCCATTATCCTATCTATACAACCTGTTCTACTGTTCAAACTCAAACTTGTCTTTGAAACATCTTTGATTGGTCTAGAGTACCAATAATTGTTGTTGCTATTCCCTACAACAATGAAATGCAATGTTCGCAAAACTATCTCTGGACAGACTCCAGGCATGTTTAAAAATAGAAGCAAATTACCTTCAGGAAATGATTCACACACAGCCTCGCTCACCAAAGTAACACTTATTTCACTGCCATCTAAAAAATCATTGGAACGGACGACGCCGCATTGTCCCCATCTGTCCGTGACTATCGTCACACGTAAACAGAGGCAAACACCGTGCTGCTTCACCCTGCACAGCAGACAAAAATCGATATTGATGTGACACTTTCAGGACAAACGAAACACTCAATGGGCCTTTTTCTCTCCTTTCTCTCCCTGTATAGTAACATCCTGCTGCTTTGGTGCTTTAGGACATAATAATTCAAACAACCTTTCTAGGGTGATGCATTCATATGATGCATTGCTATGCTGCAACTCGGGCAATGGATTGTGTTACATCCGCTTTAAAGCAGAGAATCTTTAGGAATGCACATGAGGCAATGTAAGCAGGATAAGTACACAACAGACTTCCTGTCGTTTCCGGAGAAGATTGATGGCGCCAAAGTGATGTGGATCGATATAGTATCTACTTTCATACCCAAGGCAGTAGAATAGAAGAGCTTTTAACTAAATCGCATTCTCAAGTCTTTTAATAAAAAAAATCAAGATCAAAAGACATCCAAATATCAAACGTAATTTCGAAAAATAAGCCCAATCTAGTCTTAATTACTAATGCTATATTTACATTCATATGAGCTAAAGCAAGTGATTCCTATCAACCGAAATGTTGATGTTTTCTTTCAAGCTCATCCTGGCCTTGGTGTATTCGTATACAAGCCAGCATAAAACATACACATTCACTGCTTTCTCTCCAACACATACAAATCCACACAAAAAATTCCCTCATTCTCCTCCTTCCAAGAAAACAAACATCAACCTACATCGCAAAGAAGCTTGTCGGTGTCAACACTGACGTCGTTTGGGTTGTTGTTGTTGTTGTTGTTGGCGCATACATATGTATGTCACCCCAAACCTTCCAACCGACCACCACCCATCGTAGCTCATCAACCCCTCTCTGATGACGATGATGATGACACCCCTTGGGTCCCTCTTCATCCACACACAACACCAAAAATTTTCACCAGCTTCTTGCGGCTGGCTGTCACCCGTGAGGAAAAATCCTTCTACACACCTGAAACTACCAGTGCCTCGTTCGGACCGCACGTCACAAAGCCCCACACCATCTCGGGGATCAAATTCGGCAGACGTTAGCACGAGAAAACGATTGCAATGAAGATTTTTCCGCGGTTAAACTTTTGCACTCTTCACTTTTCACAGAGGGAGCTTGGGATGAATAATAATCTTGCTTTGCACCGCACAATCACAAAACACGTCCAGCCAACTCACGACCCGAACACATTCTGATTGGAAAAGGGGCGATTTTCCTTGGATTCACGATGCGGTGTTTACGATTGCAGATTGTGCTTGTGTTGGTGTGTGAGATGAACCGCTTTCGTTCAGTTCTCGAGTGCCCAAGCGGCCAAACAACGCTCACGAACACCGCGGATGCGTAGTGGTCTGTTCGAATATTACGTAATACTACTGATCAGACTGCACTAAAAAATTACACACATTTTTATTGACGAATTTCCATGTGAAATCCACATGATTTTCATGTTACCGTGGCCACACATAAACTGAACCCACCAGCCCAGTGGCAGGCGCGTAGGCAACATGTTATATTATGACAGCGGGCCCAGCACAGCAAAATAAACGATTTGAGCCCAGGACATGCTGTCTACTGTCAAACGCTGCTGTTGGTATACACAGAAAAAAAAAGTTGTTGAATATTACATCCAAACTGCTGCAACCAGGTCAATCCATAGAGGTAACTCTAAGACCACTGGGTCCCGAAGAAAATCATTATTATTTTTGGCTCACTCAGTACCAGAACAACGGTCCCAAGCAGTCCCAAGCTATTTCACTCACCCCTGCATGTTCTGCATGAATCCACACACCCCTGATGTTATCTGTCAAACTTTCATAGCGAATCAAAACAAACATAGTGTAGTAATAGAATTTCAACTAGAATAGGGTACGTTAATCGTTTGCTTGGGACCAATAGGCTATTAAAGTGGTGAGCCAATTTAAAATCGTTAGTTTCGTATTGATTGTTGGTCAATCCATCGGTTGTGTAATATAACGTTGTACGATGTACATCGATTTTGCTATTACATCACTAATTCATACATCAACTTGAATTACGTTGATCGATATTACATTTTTTTTTTTTACTGTGTAGACCTTGTCAGTGGCCTGGAACTCACTCAATAGTACACATGAAATTGTTGTGTCAAATGGATAGTAGGTGTGGTCACACATGGCTTTTATGTGTACCCTGGTACGGGGCGAAGTTTACCAGTTGTGAGCTTTCATTCGCGAGTAGTCGACGTTGTGGTAGATATAGTTGGTATAGAATAATAATCATGGTAAATAATGGTAACTAATTATTTGAACACAAAAAATAAGAAAGTTGAGTCGTATAGCACCACACTCAAGTTGAGTAAATTTGTGTCAGCGTGTAGTCGTACAATAATGTCACGAACGATTGGATCATAGTTGAGTCAGGGTGTAGCGTTGATTTGATAATCAATGAAACGCACACATACATGCAATGTGGGAACAAACCGAAGCTTCACTGCTTCGTCTTTGTACATGATTGAATCTTGAATCAGTCATTTAACCAAACTTGTAGCGCACGGTTGTGCGTCTTGTTCTCGGTAGGTCTTTGTTGCGACACATGACCGAGGCTGGAAACCTCGGTCAGGTTACGACAATGGCGCAGCCGGTAGCTTTTGTAAAAGTTTTAATTTAGTGTAGAAAGTGGTATAGGTAGTAAGTGTAGTGAAAAAATACTCTCCGACGAAAGGGCGGAGGAGTAACAAACGTTCACGGTAGGCTCTATAACGGAGTAGGCCGGTTAAAAAAAAACATTCCGCGATGGATAAATTGTAAAAAAAAAAAAGCACGAAATAATTTCCCCGTCAGATGGTGGGAAAAGTAATGCTCCCGGTAGGCTCACTGACGCAAGGGCAGTGGAGTAGGCCGGGAGATGAAAAAAAAAGAGAAAGGCGGTGAAGGATTGAGATGATGTCTCCGGTAGGCTCCCTGACGGAAGGGCAGAGGAGTAGGCCGGGAGATAAAAAAAAAAAAACAATTCCCGGCGGAAGGGTGGAAAAAATCTCCGGTAGGCTCCCTGACGGAAGGGCAGAGGAGTAGGCCGGGAGATGAAAAAAAAATGCAATTCCCGGCGGAAGGGTGGAAAAAATCTCCGGTAGGCTCCCTGACGGAAGGGCAGTGGAGTAGGCCAGGAAAAAAAAAATCAACACAAGGGTGGAAAAAATGTCTACGCTAGGCTCCTTGCAAAAGGGCAAAGGAGAAGCCAGCAGACGGGAAAGTTAATCGCAAAGTTGAATGCTAATAAAATTGGTGTTAATTTGAAATGGTAGCGATGGTTAACAGTGATGTCAATGTTTAATTTGTTTTGTTTAAGCGGATGGTAATGTTAAAGTTGAGGTTGTGTCAATGATGAAATTGATGATATTATTGAAATTTATAATGTTGAGTTTGATGGCGGTTTGATGGTTGTGTAAAATTTGCGGTCATGTTGAGGTTAAGGCGAGAATAAATTGTATCTCTGCTGGAGTTCGTGATAGTGTGAAAGTTGAAGTGAATGTTTAGTTAATGTTAAGGTCGACGGCGTCGTTGAAGTTGATTTCAATGTTGACAATAATGGTTTGGATGGTGTTGAGAAAAGTGGTGGTATTGAGGTTGATGGTAATGTGAAATTGAGTTTAATAGTTGAGTTAAGCTAATGTAATGGACGCTAATGGAAATTTTCGTTTTGCAGTGCTGAGCTGCGTGTACGCTGAGTATATAAAAAGAAGATTCAAGATGATTTTGAAGATTTCCTGCAAAAAGATAAAGCGCGATTAAGCATTGAAAGCGAAAAAAAAAACGAAAGTAGATTTTGCACATCGGCGTAACATTGATGGCAAAATTGATCTTGGAGATGTTGTTGAAGTTGATGGCGAGGATGAGGTAGATATCAATATAAAAGTTAATGGTTATATTGATGATGATGGTTATCTTGAAGTTGGTGTCAGTGTTGAAATTGATGATAAAGTTGATGGTAATTTATAGGGTGGTTGAAGTGTAAGGTCATATTCAGGTTTTTGGCTATGTTAATACTGGTGGTAATGGCATTATAGATATAACATGGTGTCCAATGTTTATGCATTGATTTGTTCGATCATCGTAACATCGAAAACAAATGGGTAAACCAACCAGAAAGTGAGTACCAAAATGTAAAGTACCAAAATCAATGTGAGGTAGATGCGTTATATATTGGATTTACAGCCACAGCATACCATTGGTAAAGGATGATGACATTAGAGGGGCGCCAGCACTAAACTGAAGTGCTTTAGTCGGACTAGTGACTCTGGACGTCATTAGTGATATTATCGGTATAGTTATATTAGCCGGAATAAGAGGTTGATGGTTGTTGTTATATTTAAGAGGCTTAACACTTTTGTGCATTCACCAAGTTGGTGATTAGGCAAGATGGACATGGTCTTAGCCGTCATTGAAAACAGCAAAGAAAAAAAAGTTTGATGGTTTTGACGACGAATGTTTTGCAATTAATGATACGGTTGAACTTAACGAAGATTTACATTGTTATGCTGTTGAAGGCGGTATTCAAGTTGATGGCTGTGTTGATATTATCGGTGATGACGAGATTGATAGCTGGGTTAAGGTTTGTGCGAGTGTCGAGTCTGATGATAGTGTTGAGGTTCACGGTGGTATTGAAGTTTATACCAATATTGATGTTGAAGGTAGTGTTGAGGCTGAAATGGTTTTAAAGTCAATGTAGATGTTTGGATTTCTTTATTTTTTTCAAATACTTTATTAAAGTTTAATGATGATGGTGATGTCATGATTGAGTTACTAGGTTGTTGAAGCTGTTGGCGATTTTTGGTCTGTTTTTAGGGATTTTAGTGATGAGGTTGATAACATTATATAAGTTGATGATGTTGTTGAGGTTGATAGGGGTGGTAAAATTTGTATCTGTGTTGAAATGTTGATGTCTATGGAAATGTTGAAGTTGAAGATGATATTGTTAAAGTTGATGAGAATGTAAAGTTGATGGCAAAGTTGAAGTGTATGGCAATCTTGAAGCCGAGGTCGAAGCTTATGGTAATCATGTTGGAAGTAAGTTGAAGATGATGGCGAAGATAAACTTTTTGTTCAAGTTGATGGTAATGTTAATGGCTAAGTTGAAGTTGTTGTCAATAATGAAATGTATGAAAGTAAATGTAATGTAAATGTTTAAAAATATGTTTTAGTTAACGAAAATGTTGATGTTGTTCGGGCCGTTAAGGTTCATGGTGATGTTAAAGTTTATGCTCGAGTTTATGCTAATGTAAGGTTGATGGTTATGTGAGTGCTAATGGTAATGTGAAACTAATGGCAAAGTTAAAGTTGATGCGAATGTGATGCTGATGGTAATGGTATGATATTGGTTTATTGCAATTTTGCATTTGTTAAATGTTGATGTTGATAATATTATTGAAGTTGATGGTATTGTTGAAGTTGATGTTAATGCTGAAGTTTATGAAGGTATTGAGGTTGACGGTAATCTTGAAGTTGATGACAATAGTGTTGTTATGTTGAAGTTTATGGCAAAATTTAAGTTGATGATGACGTGAAGTTTAAACAATATTAGAAACTTTTGCTTGAAACCTATTAGTCTTATGGATGTAAGTACATAAAACAAATGTTGAATCAGTGTGGTGTTGTATCTGTGTTGTTGAATTGTATCTGTATTCCAAAGAGTAGAGAAGGGGAAGAATGTGGTAGATATAGTTGGTATAGAATAATAATCATGGTAAATAATGGTAACTAATTATTTGAACACAAAAAATAAGAAAGTTGAGTCGTATAGCACCACACTCAAGTTGAGTAAATTTGTGTCAGCGTGTAGTCGTACAATAATGTCACGAACGATTGGATCATAGTTGAGTCAGGGTGTAGCGTTGATTTGATAATCAATGAAACGCACACATACATGCAATGTGGGAACAAACCGAAGCTTCACTGCTTCGTCTTTGTACATGATTGAATCTTGAATCAGTCATTTAACCAAACTTGTAGCGCACGGTTGTGCGTCTTGTTCTCGGTAGGTCTTTGTTGCGACACATGACCGAGGCTGGAAACCTCGGTCAGGTTACGACAGACGTCTAAAGCCATTGTTTACAAAAGCAATTCGGCCCTTTTGAAATGTTCACACCGCATTACTCAATTACGAATTTCCGTCATTGCTAAATTTAATGCGGCATGAAATCGCCAA